ATATACAGTCCTCCTAATTAAGTAGTATTTGGCAAACTCACTCAAATCCCATGGCGCGCATTCTAATAAATTAGCGACATCGTTCAACGTACGATCGACGTATCTTTGATTAGGTACCAAATCGTCGGTGGTCTCATTCTTCAGATCGTAATAAAATGATCGTCTGGTCTTAGCCGTGTTTGTTAACAGCAAACGATGAGCCTCGGCCATTAGTACTACCATTAGAACAAATTTATTTCTGCTGCTTTTCACCGCGAAATCGACGATTGTCTTTCCCGAATTTTTAGGATTTTTGGGATTTTTAGGATTTTTAGAATTTTTAGGATTTTTAGGATTTTTAGGATTATCTCCATCATCTGCTTCTTGCTCTTCGGCAAAATCAGTTAAGTTATCGTTGAAGGACATCGTTTTCGTTCGAGGATCGACTGAGCATTCTGGATAAACGTTCTCTTCACGTACGCTGGATTTTGAAATAACATTTTGGTCGCTAAAGTACGATATGTACGGTGCCTGTCCGGTAGATATATGTTCTATTATTTTCAGCGTAACAGCTTCAATGCGCGCGATTAAATCCTTCCTAAGTTCACACGCAAAAAAAATGGATAATGATTGATGCAACGAGTTATATAAGTCAACTTATTTGCGAGTAATAAAAAAATATAGCTCTGAATATTTTACCTTAACTCTTTATTGTCGACTATCGGTATTTTAATATATTTCTCTTGAGCGCTCAAAAATTGATTGGCGGTTGACGCGATTGTTTGCCCACGAAATTTTTTATTTGCCTTTTGCATTTTGTCTAAATCAAGAAAAATATAATAAATGAATATTAGTTTCATATATTTTTCATTATTTATTTTTATGGTATATCACTCTATGGAGAATGCTTCTGCAGAAAAGTGAGAGAAATAAGAAAATAAAACCAATTAATTATTTATAATTATTCACTCGGTGTTGTATAGTTAATATCTTTTAAGATCAATAACCCCAGTTTTAGTTCTTCTTTAACCCAACAGATGCCTTCAGCTTGCGCAAAGCAGACCTATAACCTTGTATAGAGACCGTTTCTATCGATAGAACTATGAAAGAAAAAAGAAAAAAATATATACTGTCTTATATACAATTTATTTTATTATTTTGCAGAATAAATATAATTGCCTGCCGCTGCTTTATAGAAGTTTTTATTATACTTCTGTTCAATTTATAACTATTAAGTACTACTATCGAATTTGGAATTGCAAAAAAGACTTGCAGGACTTCTTAATGGTAAAACAACCTAATAATTTATCATAGAGAAATAATATATTATACATGGAATGATCCTACAAAAAATAATTTGCATTTCTGAAAATTTTGTTTTTGAAAAAAATAAGAAATATCAATAACCAATTTGATATCCAATTAATTAATGCACTCGAATATTATCTTGATATAATTAATCAAAAGCATATGCAGCAGATATTCATAACTCATGATGATAACGCATTCGTTAATTTATATTTATTTATATGCATATATGTATCGTATTACAAAAATATTTCACAAAGAAGTTATTTGGTAATTTAATTCGTTCTATTGATAAAGAATAAATCAGGAATTGATTTGTATACCCCACCCGCTTTTGTTTGCATTAATTAGACATTTACGTAAAAGCGCCTATTTAACGTTCCACAAATATCGGGCGAACTACTGTAGCGGTATGAAAAATTGCAACACCGAAAGTCATTAGATTCAACGAAAGCCGAATCAAACGGAGAGGGAATCCGGATACGCTTTTGTCGTCGTTGAATGTTACGAGAGACGAGTTAAAAGGCGCTGGCAGATAAAAATCTACTACCTATCCGAGGCCGACATTCTCACAGCAATAAACATATTAGGTCCCGATCCACGAGGTAAAGTATTGACCGCGAGGGCTCGTTCGGAGCCGTGACGGAGTAGACATTAATTTTTCTCCCGATCACCGACATTCATATCGAAGTGGCGAATCTCGAGAGAGACCCCGGACACCCCGCTGCGCATTTGTGAGCACCGACCATTGAACGGCGCGCTACTGTACGTGCTAAAGACACTTCAGGGACTTATTGTGAGCGCGAAACACACACCCCTTACTGCAAAACGTTCGATTGTAACGAAATTCGGCGTGCATTCGCTACTGCTTTAATAGGAAGCCGTCCGGAAGGCGAGCGTGACCAAAATTAGCCATTTCCGAATTGAAATCCATAGCTTCTTTTAAAAAATCAATTATACTTATAAAACAATTATTTTTATAAAGATTTAAGAATCGTTCGAATAATGTATACACGTACAATGTGTCAGTCAGGTAAACGTAGAACATATATTCCAAAATTACGGCCGATTCATGCGAAACACTACTGTGACAAAAATGGAAATAACGATCATCGACTAGGGTTCTATCCTACATAAATTTCCCTAATCCGTGACATGCGCTGGGTTTCCAACACTTTTGCAAACGGAGGGACAATGAATATTAACGAGCAACTATGATATCTAACGTGTGCCAAAATATTTCAGAGACAACAAACGATTTGACGCAAATTGATTAACTTGGGAAAATTCATCTCGTAAAATTCTGGACAAATTAAAAAGAATGTCTGCGAATTCGCATTGACAAGCTCATACACGCGAACAAAAGTGAAACACCACCTTAAAGTTCCGGCCTCTTAGATGCTCATAACGGGATTATTCATGAAAAAATAATGCAGGGCGGCTAGCATGCTCGGTTTCGCATTAAAGACACTCCAAGGCTGCGCTGTTACAAAGGGGGATAGTGTTACATTGTGCAACGAGCACAGTGGAGAAACAGCCCTAAGAATGCCCTCGCCAGCCCTCAAATAGCCCGTATATAAACCAACACGCGTCGTCGGCACGTCCTTAAAATGTCAGTTGGATACGCGACGAAGAAGGAAGAATCGCACGAGATTAGATATTCACGAAATCTCACGCGTATGCACTCGATCTACCTCGCCAAGGTAATAATCCCTTTTGCATTTGCGCGCGAACACGAAGGAAATTGGACGCCTGCCGGCAAGAAAAAAAGACATAGAAATATTTTATCATGCCACCGAGTATTAAAAGCACCCGTACGCGGAGTACCTGTCGAATTCTGTGACTTCCGGTTTATCGATTTACAAGAATGGAAATGAAGTTGTGGAGGGACAGTTGACTAGGAAATTCTATGGATTTCAATACCGCGATAATCTTCTCGGCTTCAAATATCCCCCCTCGATTTAAATTCGCACGAAACTAAATATAGTCGATCAACTCTGGAAAATACCTGTCGCATGTCAACCAGTTTCCTTATACTGAGGTCAGGGATTTTCGAAACCCGATACACCAGGCATTCTGCGATTAAGTAAGACCTAAATGCCCACGAATAGACGCTGCAAGTAAACGATGTTCGAAGCTCGAATCTATTCAGAAAATCGTAACAGTCGAGGTTTTTCCAATCGGCGACGTCAAGAGATCGGATCTCTTGTCGTTCCTTTATTCGCGTCTTGGTACATTCAAGGCGATTTTCGGAGATAGCATCGAATTTGTCCAGACGGTGGAGAACGCGGCTGCGAAACAGCGGGACATTGCCTAACGTACAGACTTGGAGTAGAAAAAGTCAGAAGGGTGACTGCTAGTTAAAGTTACTATCTCCTGGTATTCGATATATTTACATTAATTATGTACATATAACAAAAGAAACAACAAATTGTCCTATTTATTAGAATGTTACCGAGCATGCCCGACTGAGTTCAAAGCAACGGCTTAACTTTCAGAACGAAGGGAATTTCCTAGTTTTACCGATACAGGCGTGAACGATTGATCGTTCGAAGTGCACTTATCGAGACTACTTGAACGCGCCGCGGTTTTCGAGGGATCGAACAACGTTATTGTAGCGACCACCGTGTTCACACACTATAAAGAGGGTTTGACGTGCGGTACTTGACTTAAACGTGAGCTTGGGAAAGTCTAAAACACTAAAACGACTATCGTCACGTGATGTCGTTTAAACGATTCATCGAGGACTTGATTGAGACTACCGGTGATTTGAGGTAAAAAAATATTTCTAAAAAATAAACGTAATTTTAAACTTTATTTAATTATATAAAGATACCAAGACGCGGCCTTTAATGACGTACCGTATCTCAAAATTGCGTTTTTTTTTTTTAGATACAAATCAATTAAAATCCTTTGGAAAGATGCGCCAATTTCAAGACGACGGAACGATGAAGAAAATGGTTTCGTGCGAAGGTATGATTGGTATTACGTACCAATTTGATACGCGTCTTCCGCGCGTAATCACCTAACGAGCACTTTCGTTTCCCTTAAATTCAGCATTCCTTTAATAACAGGCCAGTGCTCGGGGCTAAATAAGATCTTAGCCTCTACTCGACGCGTCGCCTTATTACACGTCAAATGTTTTCATGGTTATACCGAGAAGAAAAGAAACCGAACGTGGCGTCTCAAGGATGCCGACGGATGGAGAAAATGACGAATAGGAAGAAGTTGGGAGAGCGAGATAAGAGTAGGAAAAATAAATGAAAATTGGATAGAGGAAAGTGTATTTTATACAGATAGAGGTAAATCAAAGATAAAAAAATTAAAAGAAGACGAAGGATCTTTGATTGAAAAAAAAGAAGGGGTTACAGATGAAAGACCAAGTCGGAAGAGTGTGTTATAAAAAGTTCGACGACTTGTCGGCGATGCGCCTGAGGCAAATAAGGCGACAGAAACTGTTGCGATCCTCTCAAAAGCCGTCTTTACGCGTGCCACAGATCTCGGACGTGTTAAGTGTAGGTTTGTTATACCAGGGAAACTGGTTCGATCATAACGAGTCAGTCGCCAATTAAAACAAAAAATGGGAATTCCACATTGCTCTGAAGGTCGCTTACCTTACCTTATCAATTGCACGTTAATTTCGTAAAAAATCCACTAAAGCCACCAGAGACTAAAATAACACATATTCTATATATAAATACTTTTTTAATAAAAAAAAAAGGATGATTTTTATTCTTTAACTTTAGCTTTAATGTATGAAACAGTCTATTTAAAGAGTTTTATTTAAATTTTTTTTCATAATGTTTGATATTTTTGCCATTCTCTTTCTCTCTCCCTTATATTAAATATCAAATTCGGGCAAAAAAGCAATATCCAGAAAATTTGTCAAGATGCCAATATTTCACTTACTAGTATATTATAACTATAATTAATACAAAGAGTACATTAGAATTATTAATTATTTTTATTCTTTTAATGCGTGAATTTTGTTCTCTATCTTAATCTTCTATAATCCATCCATCCATAATTTTTGGTCATTTTTCAATTTCTATAATTTTTGTCATCTTTTTAAAAATTTATTCTCCCAATGCGCGGCGGCCGGCGACGGTGATTTGCGTGTGCAATTATGCGTAAAAGAGAGACGATTATACAACGATTCAATGTACAGGTATATAGATTAAAATAGGTGCGAAAGCGTGCACCGTGCGTGAATTAATAAGTGTTCGGCGTGTGCCACATGATGAGGCAGTTTGCAGCTGCCGGCTTTTTTCCGCGACAGAATTTTTCGCGATTACGAGGCGAGCAGATGCGTTCCCGAAGAATAATGCCCGATTCGCTCGCGCATCTCCTCAGCTTTGCGTGTCTCGCGAAATTACATATACCTCTTTTTACCATCGCGGCGTGCACAACGCGCTTCGCTCGAGTTAACCTTTCAACCCGTGACTCTTGGCGCGCGGGTTTCCTCGTCTCATTATGATCTCCGCGAGCACGCAAGATTATTCATCTTGGAAATTGCCGCGCGCGAGCATCATGCGATGCACTCAATGCCGAAAGTGCCGTCTTTTTTAACTTTCAATTTGCCGCGTTTAATTCGTAACTGCTAAGGTCGAGATGTCTCAAAAACAGCTACAGTAGAATATGGTATAATAAAGTACACCACTGCATGATAGAGATCATATCTCGAACGCCCGAGAATTCCTGATAATTAAGAGCAACGAGAATGCCATTGGGCTACGATTACTTGATCTTTAAGGGCGGTCTTTATCGCGGCTTAAGAGGGGATTAACGGTGAGGGATAAAGAGCCATCCGTGCTCAACCCCCAAGGATCACTGGCGCTTCGATAAGAAACGTACGTTCGCCGATAAGCTGGCAGATCTTCCAAATTCTCGATCGTCCTTAACGACATCACGATAATGAGATGACGATCCTTTGTCATATGTGATTCGGTTTCTTCTATCGAATAGAAGAACAATAATGTTATTTAATATTATTACAAAGAATGTAATGGTACATATATCTAAGTCTATAATAAATCTTCAGATCTATAAATTACTAAACTAGTACGAAATTAATAAGCAACTAATTGTAAGACAAACGGCGAAATAGAAAAGCGAGGGTGAATTTGGACGAACTGTCGAATCACGGAGGCGCGATCGCCGAGATTTGTTGGCTTTTCGAGAATGCACCCTTGTCGAAATCACATTGTTCGTAAACATATGTTCTCTCCCGTGGGCGTACGTGAAGGAGTAAACGAGAGGAGGCGAACGAGAAGGACGAAGGAAAACGGTCGGCGGATGAGCAGCGGCGGTCTGGCAACCAGTCTGGCATCACCTGGACAAGGAGCACGCGCCTTTTGCTCGGGCAGGAAGGCTCGGAAGGGGGGGGGAGAAGAGGGAATCGAATGTCTCTCCCTATGAATATCGATGCAACGTACGTATTGTGGTCGCGAGGCCGCCCCGTCGAACGGCGCGTCGCCATAATGCGCTCATATAACATCGCGACTCCACGTAACGACATTAAGCTCTAGCCACAATGGATGCGTGACCTGCCGCACTCACGGCCGTGAAAAGCAGCTCGTCCGGAACCCTTCGGTTCGCAATGAAAATCCTTTTAAACGCGCAAGCCCACGCCACTCGGAATCGCCTTACAAAAGGATGTTTTTCGCAGCTCCGAAACTGCGTCACGATTGATGCGTCATGTCACCTCGATCCGTATCGTCGTCGTGACACTTTTAGAATTCGCAATCGGGGGAAAAATATTTCTGTTCCTGACAAATTACTGATTTACCTATTCTTCGTTCTTAAATAAGACGCACACTGTTAAAAGATCAATCGCTCTATATCTTTCAACAGCACAGAAATATTTTGAATATTTTGAATATTCTTATTTATCGATATGAAAGAAAGTTGCGAAATTTCTCTCAATGCGACGTCTTGTAAATTCATGAGAGCCAACAATACCGTGTCACTGTAGAGATTGTCGATAAATAATCAATCGAAGGTCGCTCGGTGGACCTTGCTGGCTCTCGCATCTCCGGCATCTCCGTCGTATTTGTGTGCGTGTACGCGTACGTATTCGTGTCATCGAGACGCATGAACGATCACACTTCGGTCCCACCTTCTTCACGCTCGCCTTTTATTTCTTCTTAGCGTGCTCTCCCTCTTTGTAATCTTCCAGTGCACGCGCGTTCCTTAATAACGACCGCGAATCGAATTCACCAGCGTTGGGCGAAAAGTAATTATCGTTGCTTGTGAGACCAAAGTGGAGAAATTGATTTAAAATGCACGAAAATAGCCCCGCGTATTACTTGGTTTAAGAAATTGAAAATGGAAATTAACATGGATCCTTTTATCGCAACCCGCGCGCATACGTAGTCCCCGATTGTACTGCAAAAGTCGCTTTATTCATAATACACGGAAGACTGTCCGAGAAAAATGATTACTATCATAAAATGGCGTGAGACGGCCATTTACGAGCACGAAGAATATCCCGAACGCGTATGTCAAGGGCGCGAACGCTTGTGCCGTGCAACATTAAGTCGGCGTTTAATTTCAAACGAACAGCTGGTGCTTACTCGCGCATCACTCATAAATTCGATTTCTTTGGACCGTTCCGCCGCCTTCGACATCGCGCGATTCATCCCTCCGTGCGTATCGCACAGTCGGCTTAACGAGACTCAACGATGCAAGTAAACGCATCTTTCGATTATTTCACAAATAAACGCGCTTTTTATAAATGGGTGCGTGCAAGAAAGATCTAACAATGTATCTCTTTTCATAAATTATTCCATTAATATCTTATATTGTCTTAATTGTAGATGCACAAATTAGTCACAAATATAATAATGTAAGGATCTAATTAACGATCACATAGATTGTTAAAAACTCGATTGTCTTCACAATTCTTTTGCGAATAAAAATTATTTGCACAATTGGAGACATCTATATATAAGGTAAACGTCCCAGTGGCCGGACACATTAAAGAAAAATATTTACTATTTATTTAAAATTTAAACAATTAAAAATGAAAATAATAATTATTGTAAAAAAAACTTTAACATTTAACAATTAATCGGAAAAAAGAAGTAAACCTAATTAAACATTTTTGTATTTAAAAAAATTGATTAAATGAGCATGTGTCTGTTGTTTGAGTGTCCGGATACTACCTACATTAAGAATATCAGTAGTCCCAATCGCCGGACGCATGTGCGAACGCAATTTGTTAAAAAATGAGAGGTTAGTGTCATGCAGTGTCGCTTGTTGGAATCGATAGATTTTTGCGGTAAGTGTAATAATTACATGTTTTTAAAGGCATTGAAACTACTCACCGACAATTTATCTTCATTTACAAATGTTAAGATAAGTTATAATTTTTTAATTGGTTGGACACTGGGACAAGTTATGTCCGGATACTAAGCCATAACCTATTTCAGCTGTCCGGCCACTGGGACAAGTATGTCCGGACACTAACCCACAACCTATTTTAGCTGGCCACTGGTACATTGACACGCTCCATTACTTATGTAAATATTAAATTATTAATTGATATATGTGAGTTAAAATAATTTTTCCCTGCTTAAGAGAATCTTAAGTTTTTGAATGAATACAAATATTTATATTAAACATCTTTCTAAATATTATAAATTGTATTATTTATGACAAATCATGCTTAACCGTCCGGCCACTGGAACGTTTACCTTATATATGACTTTTTACAAGCTATAGAATAATTCCAGGTAACTTAAAAATGTTTATCGTATTAGCTGAATAATCTCTGACTGTCATTTAATGTCGCATCTCTCTTACAATTAGTTCGTCTTCGAGCAGCTCGTAAATTGGTCAGTCAATTATGATCAATTTCAAACGCAGATGCGTGCATCTGCACGAGAGAAAAAGACGGAGGTTACGTTATCTCCTCGTTTTGCGCTTCTTATGATGCGAAAGCCGACTAACGCGATTCCGTTTAACGAGAATCCGTCCGATATTCTTACAAAATAACGAAGGACAAAGAAATTGTGATCAGAAGAGAAATCTTTCAATAGCGATTATTTGTGAGGAAA